GTGGGTTGCAAATGTCTTCAAAAGTGGCCTACATGATTCGTAAAATTGCGCAAGTGACTTATCTCAGGTGAATAATAATTTGTAAAAATTTGCAGTTTTTGACATGGTGAAATTCTGTACCTCACACTGGACATATTATTTGCTGTATGTGTTACGGTAGCAGCTGGCGCCACGCCCCTCTAAAAAAATTTTCCTCGCTCCATCAGAAAAAAATTTGTCGAACTTCTATTTAGAGATGACATGATTTGTTATTCCTTGAAGCACTGAGTCCCAATGGGATTCACTCTTTAAAGTAAGACTTGTAGATAATCTACATGCCATATTTATGGTGTAGTTTTGTATCTTGCACTGGACATGTTAGTTATTGTATTTGAGTTCGCGGTAGCACAAGCAGTATAACGTTACGATATAAAGGTGACCATCATAGAGCAGAATTTACAGAATAGAATAAATCAGTGACTATTTTCAAAAAGATTAAAGTTCGGAGGCACTTGTGTTCACAACAGGAACAAAACGAAATCAAAGAACCGCGAATTACTAGATGAGTGAAGCCATAGCATAAATTTTTGTAATTTCTACAAGGTGGATAAAGAAAGGTGCAAGCTTTTGGAACACGAAGGCTAAGCTTCGTCTCTTTTCTGGGCTCAACCTTACCGAAAATTGAGTAGAATAATGATAGGTAAATGCTCTGAAAGGTGTTCTATGCAAAGTTTGCTCCTCTTTTCAGCGCTGATGCAACAGATAGTTTTTGTGATCAAGCTAGAGGTTTGTAGAAATTGTTAAAACATCTTATTTTTCACTTAAAAATTTTTAGATTTTTCTCCCTAACTTTCCATGCATCAAGCTTTCTAAGATTGTTTGGACACCATCTTGTAAGGCTTGCTTTGCTCTATCGAATGATAGGTTTCACAAATTCTTACACCTTTTCTACAGCTCAAAGATAAGTGTAGTTGACTGCACGAAATCGTCCGGGCTACCCGCTCGCAAGTGTGTAGTCTTGCAAGCTAACACTGGCATTCTCGCACATGTGTCAGCAAGCGCTCCTACTCGGCTACCGCGCTGCAAGCACGCTCGCATGCGCTCAGCCTATAGCGACTCGGGTGATTTCGTGCAGTCGCCTTTGACCTGCATTATTATGCATTATGCATGAACCTAATAGAACAAGTGTGCATTGATTGTATGTTCAGATACGCTAATTGTTGCTAGAGCGTTTTACTCCGTTTATCCCGTGTCGATAAAATTGAAGGCGCAAAGTCTGCTAGGGGTTACCAAGGTTCCCAGACTTCTGCTTGCTCCAGTCAAAATTTTGGTTTGGAATTTTCTGTTGCTTCTGGGCGAGATCCCACAATTCTTTTTTGAGACCCTAGTTCTTGAAACAATTTGGTGGCGGTGATATTCATTTGATATCTGTTAATAACAAATTATTTTACAACTCAGCAAAATTGTACAGTATTACGATTTCCACTTGCCGATTCGTCAGTAAAGTTCAGTAATTCCAGAATCGTCCACGTTTGCTGTTGCAAAGAAGTGCTTCATTCGAAGGTAAGTGTGTGAGACAGGGTGAGTGTGAGCTAGCGACGGAGTGTGAGAAAGGGTGAGGGTGAGAGAGGGATTGAGTGTGAGGTGTGGAAGTGTATGAGAATGAGGAAGAATAAGGGTGTGTGAAAGGGTGAGAGTATGGTAGGACGAGTGTGTGCCAGCGTGGTATGGTAAGGGTGGGATTGTGAGCGGGTGTACGAAAGAGAGGGAGAGTGTGGTAGGGTAAGTGTAAGTAAGGGGGAGTGTGTGAGCAGGGTGAGGTGTGAGAGGCGAGGAAGTGAGGAAGTGGGGGAGGGAATGGAAAAACAGGAACAGGCGAGCTACAACTTCATAGAAGAGGAGGAACATGTACAGGCACCCCTTCAACCCATTCTTTTATCTCCTCCTCCCTTCCTCACACTCTCATCTCTCTTCCTCCCACACCCTCACCCTTGCCTAATTGCACCCTTTGCACCCTTTCCCTCTCCCACGCTCTCACTCCCTATCTTACCCTCACATTCCCACTCTCCACGCGCTTCCCTCCCATACACTTACCCTTTCACACTCTCCCTTTCTTTCCCAACTCGCCTTCTATCTCACTCCTACCCTCACAGCTCATTCACACTCTCACTCTAGCCCACTCTCACACTTCCTCACTTGCACACACTCATCCTTTCGCACAAAACTTACCTTGGCGAAGGTCCTCTTACCGTATCGCTACCGTATTACCATGGACACTTTAAAGATTTGAAATTTAAAAACCCAGCCTAAATCCTCGGGCATACTCCACGCGATTTCTGTCACGACGCGATTTGGCAATGCCCAACAGTCCATAATTCATCGTGAGCGCTTTCCAAATAAACAGAAGTTAGGACTTTTTATTGATCTAAGAAGGGTTATACCTATGATTTGTCAACGTTGGATTTGAAGAAGTCTGGCAATTTGCCAGATTGCGTGGCGAATGAAATTGCGTGAAGTATGCCGGAGGCATAAGAAATGCGAAAAAGGTCTCACATTACAAAAGATTTGCTTTAGCTGCTGATGTTTGTTCTTCAAAAGTTTGAAACGAAAAATGTTATCAAGATAAGTGCAAAGTTTGGTTAATGGTTTTTAACATATTACTTTGAACTTCTGGAGGAGTTTTGATGACTGTCGGATAGAGCAAACAAAGTGACTATAAGTTTTCTTAACATCTTTAGCTAGCTTTTCAGATCTACCGAATTTTTTTCTCTGATGGTAACTTCCACATTTGGTCAAGCTAAACCTCACAGAACATTAGCGGACAAGCTTGGGTTTTGCTCAATGCAGCTTCTTCACCTCTTTTTCAATAGGCGTTTTGCCTTCCGACTTGTGAAACTTTTGGTGATAAAATTACTCAGATTGTAAACTTTCGAACGGGCCTATGGCTGAATTTTCAAAATTCGATATCTCGAAACGAAGAAAGCTTATTTCCTTTGTAAAATTAGTGTTAAATAATTGTCGAGTTTTAGAACTCTAGAATTTCAAAGCTTCTCAGTGTTTGATGTTCATCATCACACGACTTTCAAAAGTGAAGACTTTTGGAAAAAATCATTCAAAAAAATTTGGGAAGAAAGTCGAAAATGACCAAAAAATTTGTTGTATTGCATTTTGTTTACTCTATATACAAGTTATCACAACTATTTTAGAAGTTGAGAATGAAAGTCTTGAAAAGTTGCGAAACTTAAGCGTGTTAAACCATGGGTTTGATACTTTTGCAGTTATTTCAATGGTCTCAGAATATGACTGCTGGAAAGCGAAAGAAAAAACAGAATAGCTTCCAAAGTTTACCGTTATTCCTCGTGTTCTTCTGACAACTCGAAAAAATGGGAAGAATTTTCGATTCGATAGTTCTAGCTTTCAAATCAATGTATGGAGCTTTCGAAAAGTTAGATTGAAATTGATTTAGTATTAGTAAACAAAAAAATATTTGCAAATTTGCTTTGTTTGCATTTTTCGACACTAGCTTGGCTTTTAACGTTAGCATACAGTAACTGCTATCTCTAGCTAGGTAATGGTAATGAAGAAAATTCGTGTAATATGCTTTGAGACTAAAATTGCCAAAGAAGGTTCTGTCAGCAATGCTCGATTTTTTCCGTTCGGCAAGGATAACATAGCTTGAACGAAATAAAATCCTGAGATAATGCTTGTTCATGTTAGGAAGAAAAGAGTTCCTTGCCAAAGATAATTTCTTTGTTATTTCAGCACTTAACATTAGTCAAAAATTCGAATATTTTAACCTCCTGCGGTTTTTGGAATAATTCAAAATTAGTGAGCCAGTAATCTCAAAGGTTTTAATTGCAGGCGCGCTCGCTTCGGGACCCGATCGGTTTCCCGCTATCTGATGATTTTTGAATGCATCTTACAATTTACATGTTAGATTACGAAGACAACTCTGTAATAGTTCCCGTAATCACTAGTATTTTGATGTTTTTACTATTTTTATTAGAAATAAACTGACCCTCGTCGTAGAAACCTATAAACCCTCCACTGTCTTAATCGTGGTCACAGTACTCAACAATCAAACTTGAAACACTTCGTCAATTGTCTTAACTTACTGCTCGAAAAAATTTACTCACTATTAGCTTCGAAATTATCCTGTAACCTTGATTGTGCAAGCCACATTGGAAATTTAATTTCGAAACGAAGCTTTTAAATCACTGATGGACAAACGCTTTTAGCAGCATTCGATGCAGATTCTCTCTCTATTGAGCAGTGAAGGTTGTTGTGAGTAATTTAAAATGACTACTCGAATAATCGTCGGAATCTCCAACCATTACTTTCAATTACCATAGTTTTTGATAACTTTCAAATTTTCCATTTCAAACTCTAAATAGGTTTGTAACAGTCAGAGTGATGAAAATTCAAATACATTGGATTTTTGCGGTGCCTTAAACTGGCTTTCCAGCACTTTCCAAGAGGAATTTCTCGAAAGTCTTTACTTTTGCGAAGCCGTAAATTCCAAAGGATTCAAACACTAATAAATCTTTGAAACTTTCTGACATCAATTATGATTAAACAAATCAACGATAATTATACAAGGCAGCTAAATCTTTATGGCTTCGAAATATTGAATTTCGGATTCCCCGGGTACAGACTGGAACGCGTTCAAAACAAAAATGACGATTTTTTCCTCAGATTTCACAAACTGAACAGAAGAAAGACTTACTAAAAAGCAGAAAAAAATCTGCATCCAATGACACCTAAATGCTCCCCGTTTATTGATGTGATTCGGGGTGCCCAAGTATGAAATCTGGTAGCATCGAAAAAAATGAATTTAATAAGTCAAAACCTAATGTAGATGCCAAAAAACCTTGTGCTGCACGTCGTTTTTTGTTCAACTGTCACTGAAGCTCTTAAAGAAAATCTAAATCGGAAGCTATAAAAAATAGTTGAATTCAGGGTAAATAAATAGCACGGATTGAAGGCTTCGTCTACTTTATTCTGACATGAGTGATATAAGCATATGGTCGTCAATGTTAACACAAGCGGTGACAGGTTTAATGTTGAGGTTTTTTGTTTTGCTTATTTGTCATCGGCTTTTTGTTTTGCTTCTTTGTCATCTGTCTTCTTCGTGTCAACGCGTCCCATCGTTGATTTAATCGGTCCTTGCATTTACCAAAGCATCTCTCCCTTATATCCTCCCTGCTTAAGCACTCCTCCTTGCAGTGCTAAAATATCATTATTAAATTTCAGACCTAAAACATTACTATCAAAAGTATCGTCACCAAACTGCTCATTGACATACATCGTTAAAGTAGACTTCACGGCATTTGGGGTCAGTTATTAGGCATGGTTTTTTGGGTGCTGTAGTAGTGGTGTTGGCGCACACCAGAAGAGCAAAGAAGTATATGCTGATGAACCCCATGTCGGATTCTAAAAAAATGCTTGATTGCTTAGGCCAATAAAAGAATAGATTGAAGACCGGAAAACAAAATCTAGTTGTAAAGAACACTGGAGGAGGATGGAAGAGGCAGGAGAGGGTATGGTGAATTAAGGAGTTGTGTAACGTGGGCACATTTTGCTCAGTGAATTTTTCATGTCAGCGAGCATTCTAGAGAAGTTGTGCTTTGTAGATATACTAGAGTGATAGATCGAAACAAGCCGCAGCAAAACCGTCATGGAGAGAAAAGAATGAAGTTGCTTGACACAGGCACGCTTATATTTGTTTTTAGAGCTTTCATTTGTGATGAAAAATTATCGAAAAAGCCGAGGTATTGTTAAGCGGGCTAGCATTCTAATCAGGTGGAATAAAAATGCTGCAAAAATTATATAGCGAGAACAAATCGCATTTCAAACGGCCGTTATGTGTTTTTTAAGACGATCTAAAACCACACACAATTTTTTTGAAAACTTTTGACAGTATTTACTTAATGCATAAGCTCTACAATGGCCTTCTGGACCACCTGAGTTAACTGTGCTCGAAAAGTCAAAAAAGCACATTTTTGGAGATTTCCGGCTTTGAAGATTGCTGAAGAGGCGGGGCGAGGGATTTCCGTCAACTGTACTTATTGATTACCTGAGCTGATGGGCCAATTGCCGTCAAAACAGGTGAAGTTAAAGTATCCTGCAGTCATTGCTGGTTATGGAATTCCTCGCCGCGCCTCTCCAGTAATTCACAAGGCCGGTAAACTCCAAAAAAAAACACTTTGTTGACATTTCAAGCACAGTATATGACTCAGCTGGTTTAGAAGATCATGTAAATGTTAAAAGCCCCAATTTTTTCGAGCCGCTGCCTTCAAATTCACATATTGGCTCGGAAATCGCTCTCATATTGTCTTTCCACTTTCAACAGTAGGGACACTAAAGGCACTTAAGAGGAATGGTTGCCGAACAAGTTGGGGCAAAGAGATTCCCAATTTGAGGGACACATAGCTTGAGCAACAACGACGAACATATGCATATGATGGCGAACAGTGTCTCGACAAAGCTTCAATAGCCTATCTGCTGGCTGTTGAAGCTTCCCTGAACGCCTCAATCATAAAATTTTGAACATTAGCGAAACTTTGACATGGCGAAAACGAAGGCTTGTGAATTTCAGCACTATGTCAACGACTCAATCTGTAAAATAGCAGCTGCAAAGAGGAGGAAATGTTACATCGGATGCAGAAGTGTTTGTTAATCCTTATTCTACCGTATTCGCCGTTGGATTCAAAATTGACAACACTTTTGCACCGATCTCATATGTATAGGCGTATTAACATACATCATTAGATTGTGTGATTCCGTTCGCATCCTTTTAAGGTTTTACTCAATATTTTGCTTACCTCTTGACTAATTGGATATATGTGTTTAGAGGCTGCAAGCCTGTTTGTTCCGCAAATCAGCAGGAGATCTCATAAGATATTTTGGCTTTTCAACAAAAAATATAACGATTCAGAATAATTCTTGAAAATTGCACCTCCCTACAAGTTCCTCCTTTTTCATGGGTAAATTTACTTTACGAACATGAAAACACAGATGAACAAAAGATAAATCGCTTTTGTAGGTTCTGTCAACTATGCTTGTTCGCTCATTTTCACATCTGCTATGCTATCTTTTAGATGTCGGCGAAACAAGTCTTTGTCGAGACAGTGTTCTCCTTCATATGGAGGTAATCTTCGCTGTTTCAAGCATGTGTCTCCCAAATTGCGAAATCCTTCTCAAACAACTGGTAAATTCGAAAATTCTGCAACTATCATTCCTTTCATAATTCTTGGACCGTTCGGCAGTAATCTCTTGCAAGCCTTCGGGTGCTACTGTTGAAAAAGAACAAATGAAACGATTTCCACGCCATTGAAATGAAAACTGATTCAGCAATTCTTAGCAGTGCACGAATCCATAGCAATTATCTTCACGTCGCAGATTCAAGCTGTTTTTTTAGCACTCTCACCTATAGAAGGCGAAGTAGGATAGTTTTCAAAAATGGAATTTGTCACCTCCTTAACTTTCAGTTTGGAGTCCTTGACTTATTTCCAAACTCAGAAATAGAGGAAGATAAAGGAAAAGTTGATGGAGCAGGATGAGTTTTTGGACGCAGTTACGCATCCTGATACGACAAAAAATACACAAAAAATGGGAAACGGAGAATGGACTTACACAATTTGATAACAAATTCTTCGTTATACAAGTGTAACATACTCGAGATCCTCACTATATCGAACAGTACTTACAGCTTCTGATCAACGTACTATGATGTAGCGCTTTTGTATCAGGCAATCACTGTCAAAACTTTTTAAAAATTCTTGTGCGTGATTTCAAATCGTTTCAGGGAAAACGCTTAATGACCATTTGAAGGGCAAGTTTTTCTTGCATGTATAATTTTTGCAGCTTTTGTGCCATCTGAATTGTATGCCAGGCCGCTCAACGGCACTTCGGCTTTTCTTAATAATTTTCCGATATCAAATAAAACCGATGCAAAACAAATATAAGTGTGTTTAAGTTTCAAACCCAGCAAAGGAGGAAAGTAAAGAAAAAAGTTGGTAGAATAAGAGTTTTTGGACGCATTTACGCATTTTGATACGACACAAAACACTAGGAGGAAAGCGAATAGACGTGATATTGAATTTACACAATTTGATAATAAGTGAATGCGTCGCAGCAATTTTGCACCTAACCCTCACTATATCTAAAGTACTTACAACTTTTGATCAACGTGTTATGACCAGGGTCCAGCAAGAGGTGTACCAGATAACCGCCGGATTCCCCCGCCCCCTCCCTAAGTTCTCGATCCCCCCCCCCTCTCCATTTTCATTTGCCTGCGGTAGGCAGGACATGAACGCTTTATCTAGCACAATTAGCAACATATTTGTGATTATCATGTCAGATAATCCCTGTGGGCCAAGTTTTAGCTAATTCTGGGGTTTCCCAATATTGCCACCAAGTGAAGTGGCCATTTTTAAAAACGATCGAATATCCCAAAAGCAAATTAGCTACCTCTTCTTGCACTCACTACGAGCACTACTCCTATTTGCCTACACCATGGATCCTGCTTAAAATAATCATCAAGCTATAGAATTAGAAGACAACCAAAATCTCGTTTGTCCCATTTTTTGCATGCAGTGGTTGTGTTTCAGCAACTGTTGCTCAAACGAAAGAAAACAAATCCAGCTCTAATCATTTTCACAAAAACTACGAGATTTTTGCTATCGAACGAGACTAATTTGCTCCCTAAGGTTTTCTTTAAAGGTAAGTTAATTGGGTGTGACAACCCCTAAGAAGCTGTGGGGGCCAAACCTCATGCTTAAAAGGATTCAGACATCTGCGTGTTTTATATCATTGCTATTGCTCAACTTTCTCCTTCACACAGTAAAAATCTTTTGAAATTGTTTTTTCTAGCGAAAGATATAGTCGTTTTCCCTTACCTATGCTTAATGAAAATGCTGCGAAAATATTGGGACATGGTAACATGCTCACCTTTAAAACGAAGGTATCATGATTGAAAATGACTATATCACTTGGATGGCCCAATATTTGGAAACCTCAGAATTCGCTGGAACTTGGCGCACAGGGGTTATTTGACATTCTAGTTACGAAAATGCTGCCGTTATGCTTATAGTGCTCTTTTATTACGCTAACTGTACATATACGATTGTAGGCCAAAACATCAATGTGCTAGTACTTTACGCAACGCCTTAATTGTTAACGAATATCAGGTTATCGCTACAACAGCTCAACTCGATAACGACCCCCTCTCCCCTCCCCGACCCATCAATATGACCCCGCAGGTGTGGCATGCTACACCCCACGCTTGACCCTGTTTATATGTAGAGTTTTGGATTAGGTAAACATTGTCAAAACTTCTCAGAAATCTTCTGTGTGGTTTCAAATCGTCTCAAGGAAAACGGTTAAAGGCCTCTTAAAGTGCAATTTCTTCTCGCTATGTAAGATTTTTGTAGCATTTTGTTCCGCCTGATTTGCATGCGAGGTCGCTTAACGACACTTTTGGGCTTTCCTTGATGATTTTTCGATATCAAACGAAAACGATAGAGAACAAATCTAAGTGTGTTTGTGTTTAGCGCGTTTTCTTTACCCTCCCTGACGGCTTTGCGTCCGCTCATTTCGATCTAGTGTCATAGTACGTCATAATGCAAAAACTTTTGGCTAATGCTCGCCGACATAGATTCTTCGAGCTGAACGTCAACCTAGAAGCAAAATGTCAACGTTACACAACTCAGACCGACATGTAGTTCATCAACGTATACTTTGTTGCTTTTCTGGTGTGCTTGTGTCATGGAGACCTTATTTCCGAAGTACGTCAATGAGCAGCTTCATGAAGATAATATTGATAGCAATATTTTAGGTCTGCCGCCAGTTCTGCAAAAGAATCATATTCTGACGTCGGTCTGCGTGCTAAACTGCAAAGCCCTAAAAATTAGAATCGAATAAGCAAGCCAAATAAACAGCATTGACGTGTATGTACAATGCTGATAGAAATAGTGATGAGGAAATGGGCACACTGTGCAGGCTTGGCAGAGATGGTTTACGTGCAGGTTGGATATCATTTTGAGAATAGAAGCAAAGAGTATCGTTCTTGTGTGGCCCTGCAGATTTCAGGAAAACGTGCATATTAGCATAGAAAATGGTGTAAATGGAAAAAGTAAGCCAACCGCTTCGTACAGGAACAGGATTTCGAAACTAGTAAAAAAATTTCAAAGGCCGTAAGACCAAGACAATCTAAAGTAGATATTATATAAAGCTAAATGAAAAGTATCCGAGGAATTAGCAGACTTCACGCCCATTAACGCAACAAATTTTTGCAACCTTTCCCCTTAACTTATCCCATCTCTAATGTCACACTGTTGTACACATACATAGTTCCAACCGTAGTTGCGACAGGGAGAGCAGTGGAACTCAGCCTCCTCACTTTTGAGCCAGAACTCGAGTAACCCGCTTCACTTGAGTCTAAATTGGGAAAGTA